CTATACTGTGCATTGAACTAATTTAGTTAAACATTTAATTTAGGTCCACATTATGAAAAAACGAACCGCCGCATTTGTACGGCAGCCTACGGGCGTGAAAGCTAATTACGTCCTACAAATAGAAAAAAAGTACGATATGCCCTATACCCCCTACCATRACTGAAAAGCTAGACTACGATAATTATTGCGCGAATTTCCAAAACATGCATATTAAATTACTCACGTGCTATCACGACCAGCAGAGCAACAACCAATGGGATCTCCATGCTTTCCTTTTGAGTCGTGTAAGGAAAAGGCGTCAATATTATCATAGAGCGGATTTCGTATGAGTGGGACACCGTTACCGCACGGTTACCGCACAGTTACCGCACCTGACCTGCACAATTTTGGTGAACCAATGGGGCACTAGAATTTGGTTACAGTACGATTACGGTCACAGTACAGTACCGTCCGTTTCCCACTCATACGAAATTCGCTCTATTATCATTCCATTGTAGAGGAAGGGGGGTATCTGTATCTATATATAGGAGTGTGGGAATACTCCTAGGTGGTAAACTAAAATCTGTTACCACTCAAGCCTGCTTCCTGGGTTACCATAAGTTTTTTCCTTGTACCTTTTAAGTTGATTTGACGATCGTCAAACTTGGCAAGCATTCCTTGTCATACGAATCTCCGAAAAACTACGTCCCTAAATTGCGTGAAAGAACAGCCATAGTTGCCTTTTTTAGCACCTCTGTCATTACTAGAATGCAAGTCACATAAGCATGAAACAATTCTTAACTATGTAGTACTAAATAAGATTTAGTTATCAACTAACTAAGAATTGAGAACAATGCTAGAAAGGAATTTAAATAATTGGCATTGTGTTTATTCTTTGTTGAATTCTTAGTTAGTTGATAACTAAATCTTATTTAGCAATACATATTAAGAATTGTTTCATGCTTATGTGACGTGCACTGTATTTATCAGCCCCATTGTACAAACCAATGAAATTCTTATGCAAACATGATCAGCCGGAGAGCAATTAAAGTGGCTCGATCCAGTGTCTAATTACCATAGCAACAAGAAATAATTGAAGTCAGGTAAAAAYTGTATATCTTTGCTGAATTGATTTCAAAAGTTAAAATATTTTTTGTTCGAATTSACCTCTTGTCAAACAAATATTTCGAACTATTTATTGAATCGTTTAGAGTACTCTGCTGTTATTTTCAAGGATTTAAAATTACTCCACCAATGGAATTAAGTTAAAGTTACTATACCTGGCGTAGCAACTTTAGGAAGAGTTAGTCAAAATTATCCAAAAGAATTTCAAAATTGCTCTTAAAAAAGGAGTAAAGGTGCATTTAAAAATTTTCTTCTTCGCGYATTGCCCAAGAGTGGCACATAGCGCCTTCACCAAGAAGCCCAGTTAGAAAGTGGAGTTAAATGTACTAAAAAAGAGATATCTGGTAACTTTTTCAACTTAGTGCAGTTATATCAACTCCTTGAAAATAACAGTAAGTGGGGTCCAGAAAAATTTGTACATTTTACGCGCTCTTAAACCTAAACCAAGGTGGCAACTAAATCAGAAGTAGTCAAAAGAAGCAAAACTCCGAAGACAGTTAACTAGAATTGTCATCGCAAATCAGTGTCTGAGTAGCTACAGGCCTTTAATTTGCAAAAGTAAAAACTAACTTCAATATCAAGAGATCGACTGCACATTTCTAAAACGTCAATTATCACATGTACAGAATTCAATTCAAATGAGGCGAGAAAACGAACAGAACAAAAGAAAATTTGAAAATGAATACGGCACAATTTGATTATAAAAGACATTTCTCCAAAATGGCCACCGCTTGTCTGTGTGATTTCAGTTGCTTTCGGTTTGAAACAAAATGACCTCTGTAAAATCAAGTCATATACTCACCAAATAATGTAAAGTCTTCAAATCCTAACTCGCATTCAGAGATTGATTGCTTTTGCAGTGGTATTGGAATTGAGGTGTCAAAACAGTGCATTGATGTCGACGTATTTGAGTTGCTATAGCTACGCCTATTGTTCTAGGAATACTTTATTGTCATTTCATATGATTGGAAGAGAATATACGGTAAACATTGGTATTATTGACGTTTTGTCATTTTTGGTAAACTATTATTTGCATAATCTGATTTGTTTGTAAGTAAGAGCGCTTTTCGTGCTATGCTTTCATCACAAAATTCGA